AAACTATAATTAACTCTAAAATATAAATACAATGTTGCTATATATATATATATATATATATATATATATATATATATATATATATATATATATATATATATATATATATATATATATATATATATATATATACTATTGTTAACGCTGATCTTTATGTTAGATAACATAATCATTTTTAATTACCAGGCTAGTTAGTATCTGTCCTTATTGACGTAAGATTTTGTATTCTGTAAAAATTAAATTGACGATAGACTTCAGAGCATCTTCATGTGGTCATTTCTTTGAATCAGGCATCGTATTAATATATTCATAATTAGAGTCAGTCGACGATTATTGTCGTGAATTTCATTCAAGAATTTGTTTCAGAAGGCGGTCTTTGTGTTTGGTAACTTAATCAATCTAAACCAGTGGCGCGGTGTTAATCTACTACCGTTTGGTCACGCAGGGATTTGATTTAGGATTTTAAAAATTTTAAGCAGCATCGAGTCTAGATATTTTAAAGAACTGCAATGTTCTAAAACCTGGTCTGAACATGTTCTAAAAATTCTTCTAAACATGTTCTAAATACTCATCAAAACATGTTCTAAATACTCATCTAAACATGTTCTAAATACTCATCAAAACATGTTCTAAATACTCATCAAAACATGTTCTAAATACTCATCTAAACATGTTCTAAATACTCATCAAAACATGTTCTAAATACTCATCAAAACATGTTCTAAATACTCATCAAAACATGTTCTAAATACTCATCAAAACATGTTCTAAATACTCATCAAAACATGTTCTAAATACTCATCTAAACATGTTCTAAATACTCATCAAAACATGTTCTAAATACTCATCAAAACATGTTCTAAATACTCATCAAAACATGTTCTAAATACTCATCTAAACATGTTCTAAAACCTGGTCTAAACACGTTCTAAAACCTTTTCTAAACATGTTCTGAAACCTCGTCTAAACATGTTCTAAAACCTCATCTAAACATGTTCTAAAACCTTTTCTAAACATGTTCTAAAACCTCATCTATATATGTTTTTAAACCTCATCTAAACATGTTCTAAAACTAAACATGTTCTAAAACCTCTTCTAAATATCTTGTAATATCGCAAATAAACACGTTCTAAAATATCATATATACACGTTCTTCATTTCAATTTTCTCTATAGCCTCATCTACTCACGTTCAAATACTTCAGCAAAACCGTATTGGGGATCCTACATTTAACATGTTCCAAATCTATCACGGGGACATGACTACGGTCAAAATGAAAATCCACTAGTAACGTCCCTTTTTATTAGACAGAATAAATCGTACGAGGAATCCCTGTTGGATTGTAGTGAATTTCAAAACGCCAAGGTCGGGTGTTCATTTCAAGAATTGATTTTTCGATAATTTCACCAGTATCGAATTCAACTGGTTCTGGTAATGGCTTTGTGATTGTGATAGGCGGGAGGGGGAGGGGAGGGGGTAGCTGTACTGCTGGTGCAGGCAACATGGTGGCACAATGCTGGTTTGTCATCTTATGGTTGGTGAAATTGGGCAGAGGTCTTTGATGGTTGTGGGCAGATCTAAGAGTGGGCATAATGGGCAGAGGTCTTTGATGGTTGGGTTAGGTCTTAGTGGGCATAATGGGCAGAGGTCTTTGATGGTTGGGTTAGGTCTTAGTGGGCATAATGGGCAGAGGTCTTCGATGGTTGGGTTAGGTCTTAGTGGGGATAATGGGCAGCGGTCTTTGATGGTTGGGGCAGGTTTTAGAGTGGGTATAATGGGCAGAGGTCTTTGATGGTTGAGGCAGGTCTTAGTGGGGATAATGGGCAGCGGTCTTTGATGGTTGGGGCAGGTTTTAGAGTGGGCATAATGGGCAGAGGTCTTTGATGGTTGGGGGCAGGTCTAGTAGTGGGCATAATGGGCAGAGGTCTTTGATGGTTGGGTTAGGTCTTAGTGGGGATAATGGGCAGAGACCTTTGATAATGAAAGTTTAGGAGTGGGGCTGATAGGCAGAGGTATTTGTTGGTGAGCTAAGGTTTGGGTGGGGATAATTCTCGTGGGTCTTGGATGGTTAGGGAATGTTTTGGAGTTGGGTTAACGAGCAGATGTCTTCAATGATGTGGGAGGGGGGGGGGACAGGTTAATCTTGAAATTTTTTTTGACACGACATTAATGTTTCATGCTTACTTTGTGACTTCAAAAATGTATATATAAAGTAATGAAATGTTAACCACCAACTGACCAGATAGAAATAAAAACGTTTCATCAAATCATTGCATTTATTTTTTCATGCTATGCAAATCGAAAGTTTCGCCCTACGCACAGACCCTACTAAATAATGCACACACGTCAACAGACGCATCTGAACTTTGCGATTTATCTCTGTTTATAATGTGATGTTGAAATGTAGGATAGTTGGAGTGAAGGTGGGGGGGGGGGGGGTAAATATCGTTTCGTTGTATGAAAAGTGCCAAAGAATGAGAAAAATATTAATACGTTTTTTTTATCATAAAGATGTCATTTAGTGCTGGTGTATTTACAGTTTTCTTGTGCAGCAAGTCCAGTTGTTGTGGTGATCAATATAGCGTTTAACTGGCAAACAACAGATAGCTTTAAATAACGACGATAACCGCCTGTATAAAACATATATCTGTTTACGTTATCCTGCTTGTATAAAACATGTTTGTTTACATTATCCTGCCTGTATAAAACATATGCCAGTTTACATTATCCTGCCTGTATAAAACATGTGTCTGTTTACTTTATCCTGCTTGTATAAAACATATGTCTGTTTACATTATCCTGCCTACACAAAACACATGTCTGTTTACATTATCCTGCCTGTATAAAACATATGGCTGTTTACATTATCCCAGGGATATTTATCCTGGTGCTAGAGACATGTACATAAATATCGAGTTGTTACAGAAAAAAATGCAGGATCGATACCATATATCATCTTGTCCGGCAGCATTGGGCTTAACCTTCCAGCGTCGGAACACTTGATTCCACGTCCCAATTCCAAGTTTAGCGTTTGATGCCTCGCCCCAGCTCCGTGCCAAACTTTCGCGGCTTATAAATCATGCATGGACCCCCGATGCTTACAAAGAAATTATTCATCCGACAATGGCGATATCGATACAATTTGAGACTTGGCGGTATCGCTCTGTTGCTGGCAATAACGATACATCTGGAGCCCGGTATCGCATTGGGGGTGGATGTAACAATACATCGACAGACTTTTGTATCGTATTTTACATATTTTACTCGCGCTATCGAAATGTCTTAGCATTTTGACATCGATATTTACAAAATGCATAATAGTAATGCTCACACTATTTTTCAATCAAGACTTAAAATAGCTCCGAAAATCGAAGACGATTTGTCGAGATTTTCACATGACTTAGTCACGGTGCCTCGTTTTGGAAGAATCTGTGTCATAGGTGAGACGTTTGAGCTAGTGAGAAGATTTATCGTTCTATTATTGGGATGACAGTCACGTGATGGGATCAGCTGACCGCAGCTTGTGGACAACTGGCTTGTCTGATCACGTGCCCGGTTCTTCTAGAACTTTCACTTATAAAACACTAGATTCAAAGGTAAACAGTCTCACAAGTTAAAGCGTCGACAGAAACTAAATGCTCGACGTATATGTTGGATTCATTTAGTACAAGAAAACGTGGCTTTATGCATGGTAAACATCTACACAGCTGAAAGTTTTCTCTCGCAAGTGTTGTCAAACGATCACACCAGATCATTATTATAATTATTAATTGTCCCATTAATCCTGGTCCGTTAATGAATTCATATTGCTTCATATTCAACATTTTAAGGCAATATCATTCATACAAAGTGTATTTTTCATTATGTGTAATATAATATGCTTTGGGTGCATTCAAATGTATCCACATATTGCAGTATACCCAATATATCTAGTTGGTATATCACAATATAGTGACGGAGTGGACTTGCGTTAGAGCGCTAAACTGCAAATCTGAAAGTTTCGAGTTCGAATCCGGGTTCAAGTCATTAGAGTCCACCCAGCTCTGATGGGTACCTAATTTACATTAGGGAAAATAAAGACGGCTGGGCATTGTGCCGACCACACTATCCCTTCATATGTAAAGTCCTCTGAAACAAACTCTACTTCATCTGCCTCTTGTGTCGTGGGCACGAAAGGGAAATAATGATGACGCTTATACCACAATATAGCTACTATATCCGTTGGGAAATTCCAATAAAAACACCATATCCAGTGGATATCTCCCTACTCCACTCCACTCTGGTAATAAAAAATGCCGGAGATGGCGGAATATTTCCCCCTTGCCCCCCGCCACCCCGCATATTTGATCATCGTTTATTCTGGCATGTTAATACCCACTTAAGTATTCACTATGGCAGCCCGTGTCCCGGCATCTATTGTGTCCGAAAATCCCCGAAATCACGCTTTCATCAGCTTAAAATCTTCGTTGGGGGGTTAGAGTTGTGTTTCTGTATCACCATAAATGATAACCATACAGTCATACATTATTCAGGAGTGGGTTTGACTAAGTAGGGAGGTAGTTTGTATTAGAAATGTACATATATATATATACATATATATATATATATATATATGAATGCATGTATGTGCCAATATATATATATATATATATGTATATATATATATATATATATATATATATATGTAAATATAGCTATTTAGAAGTTATACGTATATAATATATATGTATATATATATAAATATATATATATAATTATATATATATATATATATATATATATATATATATATATATATATATATATACTTCATATATATGAATATATATATATATATATATATATATATATATATATATATATATATATATATATATATATATATATATATATATATATATATATATATATATATATATATATATATATATATGAAGTACACACTATCTGCTAAATTCCCCCATGGTCACATGATAACGAGACCTTTGTTTACTCTCCAGGCCTGTTCTTCTTCGCCTACTATACTCTGCTGGTGCTGGTCTGTGTGCCGGTATGTTACGTCCAGATCAAGTTGGGGGCCCTGTACAAGAGGGGCCTCATTGGGATCTTCACACACCTGGTGCCCATCCTCAAAGGTAGGTCCACCTTCATACACCTGGTACCCATCCTCAAAGTTAGGTCCACCTTCTTCACACACCTTATACTATCCTCAAAGGTAGGTCCACCTTCTTCACACACCTTATACTATCCTCAAAGGTAGGTCCACCTTCTTCACGCACCTGTGCCCATCCTCAAAGGTAGGTCCACCTTCTTCACACACCTGGTACTTTCCTCAAAGGTAGGTCCACCTTCTTCACACACCTGGTACTATCCTCAAAGGTAGGTCCACCTTCTTCACACACCTGACGCGCATCCTCAAAGGTAGGTCCGCCTTCGTTACACACTTGGTGCCCATCCTCAAAGACAGCTAATTCGAAAGTCTCGAGTTCGAATCCCGGGCTTGAGTCCACGCAGTTCTGATGGTTACCTAACTCACGTTAAGAAAACTGCGGCCTGCCATACAACTGACCACACTATCACTCCAGCTCTCTGTTAAATAATTAAAAATAATAATCATTAAAAAAGTTTTTAAAAACCCACGTTTTCTGATTGAACTAAAAAGTAGAAAATAATTGCTATACATCACAATAATGCAAGCGATCACTCTACTATAAGCGATGAAAAACGTGGGGCGCCGAAGTAAAAGTTATATTACTATTGATTAGATAATACTATTGACTTTTATTAGGGAGCTTGTAGAGAGTCAACAGTATTAGAGACTGTAAGAAAATCACGGCGCCCCACGTTTTTGATCGCTTATAGTAGAGTGATCGCTTGCATTATTGTGATGTATAGCAATTATTTTCTACTTTTTAGTTCAATCAGAAAACGTGGGTTTTTTTAAAACTTTTTTAATGATTATTATTTTCTACTTTTTAGTCTTTGTCTGTTTGTTTGCATTAAAATCTTGCTATCGATTTTATCTTTTCACTTTTTTTTGGGTAAACGAAGACAACTCGTAAAAAGACAACTCGTAAAAAACACGTTGTGTGAATACGTTACTGACTAGAACACATAGATTTGAACCCGTGTCGAGTGGGATAGCAATCGTGTGCCCAACCACTCGACCATATCGTCTCCCCCATTCTGGCCACCATTTGTTACGGTTGTTTGTACACAAACACCGCGTGAACACTACTCAGTAAGCAAAGAGGGAGAGTACCGAACCTTGTTTTCATCAAATTACAGTTACTGGGTTATGTCCCCTTTTCCCCACGTTTTTACTACAATTATATAGCGGTCTAAAATGCTCAATAAAATGTTTCCATGGATCAATTTAGTAATAATAACAATTGAATATTCTATGGTCATCGGAAACAAAGCTTCCCTGAAAATTTCAGCGCGCTAGCTAACTGGGAAGTGCCCGAAATATCGATCGCAAGATTTGATTGGAGAACCAAACAGACGCGAAAGCAAGTTAAAGAAAACGTGGGAAAAACACTGATTCTCATTTCCATTTTTATTCCAGTTCCCAATAATTCCAGTAACAACGTGTCTGTTAATTGATACAACAGTAATTTCCTCTAGTCAGTGTTTCTTCCAGACTTTTTTCTCCGGGGTGGGGGCACTTGAAATCTTTGGGGGGGGGGTAGACCTTCGGGGGGGGGGGGGGGGTAGACCTTCGGGGGGGGGGGGGGGGGCGGACACTGTTAAAAGTACATACTTTCTATATAAATTTCATTTCGTTGGGGGGGGGGGGGGGGGGGGAGGTAGAATTTTTTCGGGGGGGGGGGGGGGGGGGGCTTCGTCTCCCCCCCCCTCTCGAAGAGATGCCTGGAAGAAACTCTGCCTTTAGTTCCCACGCGTCTGTCAATTGATACAACAGTAGTTCCCACTAGTTCCCGCGAGTCTGTCACTAGCTCCTTTAACCTCTAGTCTGTCAATGGATACACCAGGAAATTGTTTTAACCGCAAATATTCACCAGCGCCTGTTTACATTGTGTCAATTTTCCCTTGTGCTTGCAGGTGTAGCGGCGGGCGCTGCTGATCATGACGTACTTCCGGTCCATTACCCACGCTCTGGAAATCAGCTATGGCGTCTATTACATGTTTGCCTCGTGTCAGCAGCCCTACCCCTGGGGGATACAGGAGGAGGTTAACATGTCGTCCCAGTGAGCACCAGTTTCTCCTCATATCTCGCTGCACGCATCATCAGTTGACATTGTTAATCTATTTATCTTTTCCTCATGGAAAAAACAGCAGAAAAATAACAAGAAATGCATTTTTTTTTACGTTTCACCCCCCCCCCCCCCCATTTGATGAAGTTTAATAAACGACAACAAACTAGGTTTATCAAGATACATGTTCATTCATTACAAAAAGGGTTTCTTTCAGACCATTTTTTGGGGGGGGGTGAAATTTCCGGGTGAGGAACTTTTAACTTCCTTGGAGGGGAATTAAAGCATATATTCAAACTTTAATATTTTTTTTTATTTTTCTGGGTTTCTGATGACGTGAATCTCCCCCCCCCCCCCCCCCCCCCCACACCATCCAGAGACGACTGAAGGAAACACACCCCTACAATAGGACACATTGGGTTATTTAATTTGAGAAATGGCATTAATGATATATTTTAAGAGAGAACACGTGCTAGTAGACTGTAGAAATACCACGAAATTCTCCTAAATACCGGACCATTTAGTCACTAGCCAGCTGTTATAAATATTGAAAAAAAAACTTGAACTTTGACCCTGGTAGGTGCCACACAAACATAGACGTTGAAACACACTAAAACGTTAAACACAGACAAACTGACACAAGTACAAAGAAGGTGTTTTAGTATTGCTTCAAGTTAAATGCTTGATGCTCAACAACTAAAAAATTTTAACTGTTTTTTTAAATTTAGAATGTATAAAGACCGGAAAAGTAAAGTATAGTAATTTATTTTATCTATATTAAAACACATTTTTTTATTGTTTCAGTGAAGCTAAGATTACAATTTTTGATAACATCAAGACAACACCAGAAGACAGTTATTTTGTGTAAGTAAACTTTGCTACAATCATTACATGGTGCAAAATATATATAGATGGTTTCAGTTGGTAGAATTGGTTTCTTCTATGTCATTGTCAACATATTAAAATTAATGAAAGTATAATGTGTACAAATATTTGGTGCGTTGGCAGAACTTGTTTCTTTTATATGTCACCATATTTAAAATAATGAATTATATGAGTAAAATATTTGGTGCCTTAATCCATAATGTTTCAGTCCGATAAGAAAAGCGGACTTTATTCACGTAATTCTGTCATATAATGATTGGAATAATTGTTATAATCAAATATAATCAACATATCTAAGATATGACTAAAATACACATTTGATTTATATTTGAAAGGGAAGAAAATTAAACTCCATGGTAAAGGTTTTCATTTATGTGACGTTGTTCTTTTCCTAACGTGTCTGTGGAACTATGGAAAACATTGACCAGACCTAACGTGTCTGTCTATAAGGGAAAACATTGACCACTCCTAACGTGTCTGTCTATAAGGGAAAACATTGACCACTCCTAACGTGTCTATGAGGGACTAGAGAAAACATTGACCACTCCTAACGTGTCTGTCTATAAGGGAAAACATTGACCACTCCTAACGTGTCTATGAGGGAAAACATTGACCACTCCTAACGTGTCTGTCTATAAGGGACTAGAGAAAACATTGACCACTCCTAACGTGTCTATGAGGGAAAACATTGACCACTCCTAACGTGTCTGTCTATGAGAGAAAACATTGACCACTCCTAACGTGTCTATGAGGGAAAACATTGACCACTCCTAACGTGTCTGTCTATAAGGGACTAGAGAAAACATTGACCACTCCTAACGTGTCTGTCTATAAGAGAAAACATTGACCACTCCTAACGTGTCTATAAGGGAAAACATTGACCACTCCTAACGTGTCTATGAGGGAAAACATTGACCACTCCTAACGTGTCTGTCTATGAGGGAATAGGGAAAACATTGACCACTTCTAACGTGTCTGTCTATAAGAGAAAACACTGACCACTCCTAACGTGTCTGTCTATGAGGGAATAGGGAAAACATTGACCACTCCTAACGTGTCTGTCTATAAGAGAAAACATTGACCACTCCTAACGTGTCTGTCTATGAGGGAATAGGGCAAACATTGACCACTCCTAACGTGTCTGTCTATAAGGGAAAACATTGACCACTCCTAACGTGTCTGTCTATAAGGGAAAACATTGACCACTCCTAACGTGTCTGTCTATAAGGGAAAACATTGACCACTCCTAACGTGTCTGTCTATAAGGGACTAGAGAAAACATTGACCACTCCTAACGTGTCTATGAGGGAAAACATTGACCACTCCTAACGTGTCTGTCTATGAGGGACTAGAGAAAACATTGACCACTCCTAACGTGTCTGTCTATAAGGGAAAACATTGACCACTCCTAACGTGTCTGTCTATGAGAGAAAACATTGACCACTCCTAACGTGTCTGTCTATAAGGGAAAACATTGACCACTCCTAACGTGTCTGTCTATAAGGGAAAACATTGACCACTCCTAACGTGTCTGTCTGTAAGGGAAAACATTGACCACTCCTAACGTGTCTGTCTATAAGGGAAAACATTGACCACTCCTAACGTGTCTGTCTATAAGGGACTAGAGAAAACATTGACCACTCCTAACGTGTCTGTCTATAAGGGAAAACATTGACCACTCCTAACGTGTCTGTCTATGAGGGACTAGAGAAAACATTGACCACTCCTAACGTGTCTATGAGGGAAAACATTGACCACTCCTAACGTGTCTGTCTATGAGGGACTAGAGAAAACATTGACCACTCCTAACGTGTCTGTCTATAAGGGAAAACATTGACCACTCCTAACGTGTCTGTCTATGAGAGAAAACATTGACCACTCCTAACGTGTCTGTCTATAAGGGAAAACATTGACCACTCCTAACGTGTCTGTCTATAAGGGAAAACATTGACCACTCCTAACGTGTCTGTCTGTAAGGGAAAACATTGACCACTCCTAACGTGTCTGTCTATAAGGGAAAACATTGACCACTCCTAACGTGTCTGTCTATGAGGGACTAGAGAAAACATTGACCACTCCTAACGTGTCTGTCTATAAGGGAAAACATTGACCACTCCTAACGTGTCTGTCTATGAGAGAAAACATTGACCACTCCTAACGTGTCTGTCTATAAGGGAAAACATTGACCACTCCTAACGTGTCTGTCTATAAGGGAAAACATTGACCACTCCTAACGTGTCTGTCTATAAGGGAAAACATTGACCACTCCTAACGTGTCTGTCTATGAGGGTATACATTGACCACAGGCCAACAATTGAATCTTGTCCGTGTCCACCCCGCCACACACAACTGGGCTAACTTGATTGATTAGCTCGTCGATTGCTCGACACTTGTGTGTACCTCTCGTCAGCTACATGGACGGCTCAACGATGGCCCTTGGTCGCTGGATCGAAACCATGTGAAGATTGATCGAACCCTGGGGATCGCCCTGATCGTGCACTCAGGGTTTCGTTCTGCCCATAACCCTATGACCTGCAATAACCATGTCACCTATGACTTGCTCTGCCCATCTTCCAAATGACTTACTCTGCCCATATTCCCTATGCCTTACTCTGCCCATATTCCCTATGCCTTACTCTGCCCATCTCCCAAATGACTTACTCTGCCCATATTCCCTATGCCTTACTCTGCCCATATTCCCAATGACTTACTCTGCCCATCTTCCAAATGACTTACTCTGCCCATATTCCCAATGACTTACTCTGCCCATCTCCCAAATGACTTACTCTGCCCATATTCCCTATGTCTTACTCTGCCCATATTCACTATGCCTTGCTATGCCCATCTTCCATATGACTCAGCCTGCCCATTTGCCAATAACACACTCTGCCCTAGTTCCCTATAACTAGCTCTGCCCATCTTCCCAGTACAAAACTCCGCTCAGTTCTTCTAATCTAGATGCATCACGTGATGAATTTTAAATGGATATATCCACATATTACTTGTTTCGTTTTACGTCTACATAATTCATGTTTTTCTGAACCCTCACTGTGCGAGTATCGATACCCAGCTAAAGGCATCGATACATTATGTATTGTCCAGTATATTAACCAAAGACTCATAAATAAGCTGGGGTTGTTTACGGCCATCACGTGACTGAAACAACAGACATACAATGTCAGGTCATGAAACGCCCAGTGTTTTAAAAGTGGAAAAACCTAGAGCTGTGGACGTTTATCACGCAAGCAGAGGTGGCTTTTTGTTTCACACTAGAGGTCTAGACTATAGGGGTCAGTTAATGGTCCATACATTGGTTTTGTTTCACAAAGCTGGCAAAACTAGCCCTAAACACAACAGGCACCAGAAAACAAACACAGACTGCAGCTTATAAAGAAAGACCTAATTTAGGATCTGGTCTCAAAAACGCCCCACCCAGAGAAAAATTGTATGGTCTTTTTGTTTGATTCCTTCAACGTCAAAAATATTAAGAAGAATGTATAGTATAAGTAATTCTACCCCCTCCCCCCAATAATGTGACTATTTCCATTTTCTTTAGTAATCTCCCAATTCTATTCCATATAATTAGCGTGTTTAGTATAATACTTCGGTATTTTATAAAAAAAACGCCAACAAATTTTTATTCATTTAAGTAATTCAAAAAATGTGAAGGTATTTGCAAACCAAAATAAAAACAAACATCAAAGTATTTATTATCAATAAATACGCAAAAAAACAAGGCATATATTGCTGTAATATAATCTCGTAAGGATGGTACATTGTGTTCATGTATACTTCTTCTTCTTCGTTCTTAATATTTTTAGTGTTGGGAGTGATCGAGCCTTATCTGCCAGAGGGTTTGAACTCGAGACTTTTCGAATTTATCAACCATGAGCTTCCATCACAATTAAGGATACGTGTCAACTGGTTATGCCCATTCATTGACACGGATTTCAGCCTGCTTTTCTTTTTGGATTTGCTTCTATAGCCTTTGTCCAACCAAGAACAAACTACAAGGGTTCGAACTCGAGATTTTTCGGTTTAGCAGCTTTACCGATTCGACCACGCCGACCCCACATGTATTCTAAAGATAATAATAAAACAAGTGAACGAAATGGAGAGCTCTTCTGAAACAAAATACACAAAGGGCCAAACGTCCGCTGGACAATAATCGAGTCCGGCTATGCGGTGAGCGCGTGAAAGTAAATTTAATCAGAGAAATGTGGGGGGGGGGGGGGGGGGGGAGTGGGGGTCAGGGGGGTGGGAGGGTAAGTGACATGATGAAATTAGGGAGCCATCGAGAGGGTCAGCTCATTGTTAGGGGTAAACTTGATGGCCAAGTGTGCCTTCTGCTTAACACAGTGTACATGAACTTGATGGGCAAGGTTGCCGTTTGTTTAATATAGTATACATGAACTTGATGGTCAAGTTCGCCGTTTGTTTAATAAAGTATACATGAACTTGATGTTCAAGGATGTCGTTTGTTTAATGAAGAATACATGAACTTGATGGTCAAGTTTACCGTTTGTTTAGTATAGTATAGATGAACTTGATTGGTGGTCCAAATGGATACACTATTATGAATACAATGGTCTAGTCTTGTACAATATCTGTGAACGTTATGATCAAATCTCTGACAAAGTGTATAATGGGGTATGGGTTTTCAGGCGTTTAGACCCAGGTATTTGACAGAAATTTAGCGCTTTTAACACATTTAGACCCTCACAGAGAGTTGTCTCTCCTAGATCGGTTGCTGTCCCCGGCTACCGAGCCTCATCTGCTTGGGGATTCGAACTGGGGACTTTTGTTTACCATGAGCTTTACCGACCCGACCACGCCGACCCCCAGTTTATAAACATTCATTTCTCGATTCATCATCTTGAAAGGACGTTACTGACACAATATTAATAATACAATCGTCCATTCTTATACACATTTAGTACTTTACTTACTATACTTGTTGGTCATGCGGTTTGCATTAACATACGCTAGTTATCAATAAGTACATGGGTAAGTGATGTTATGGAGGATTTGAATGATATTCAAGAAAGGTTGACTTCTGGAGTGAGGAGATGGGAAATTGAGAGACATTAGGGGACACGTGATTAAAAAACCGGCTTTGCTTGTTTGTCCCAGACCCAAGCCCTGAAGCCCATCCCTTAATCCAACATTTTATTAAGTCTTGGGGCTGTGACGTCATCGTGTGTTGTTTTTGTATGCCAATCAACCTTTTTCTTCTTTAGCGATAAAGAAGGGGGGGGGGGAGAGCAAACAGATATTTTTCCAAAACTTTAGCTTGCCGAAAACTTAGACCAGTAAATTTAACACAGGATATTTTGATATTATAAGCTGCTATGAGCATATAAAGCTGATGTGTTTATTGTGATATAACCCCCAAAATAACGTCAATATATTCTGCCATACTAGTTTCGCCTCATGAACAATCACATACAGCTAACTGGTGCTGTGAGTGTATGTCTAAAGGGGTGGGGGAAATTGGTTTCACATGATCATATGGACACGTTATGGGATGTTAATGAAAAGTTCTTTTGAATAAATTAACGGTGAGCTTAAGTGCTTTATAAAAATTTCTGGTATTATCCCAGTTAGTAATACTGTCGGTCAAATAAAAGACGCATTGACTTATCCCAGTGTCTTAAAGGCAAGACACGTTTACTTATCCCAATTTACTCAGTCTAAAACGAGACACATAGACTTATCCCAGAGTCTCAATCTTTGACAAGACACATTGACTTATCCCAGTGTCTTAAAGGCAAGACATGTTTACTTATCCCTCCAATGGGTACGTCGAGATTACACATGGAAACTATAACCCACACATAACACATAGAAACTATAACCCACACAAAACACATAGAAACTATAACCCACACAAAACACATAGAAACTATAACCCACACAAAACACATAGAAACTATAACCCACACAAAACACATAGAAACTATAACCCACACAAAACACATAGAAACTATAACCCACACAAAACACATAGAAACTATAACCCACACAAAACACATAGAAACTATAACCCACACAAAACACATAGAAACTATAACCCACACAAAACACATAGAAACTATAACCCACACAAAACACATAGAAACTATAACCCACACAACACACATAGAAACTATAACCCACACAAAACACATAGCAACTATAACCCACACACAACACATAGCAACTATAACCCACACACAACACATAGAAACTATAACCCCCACAAAACACAGAAACTATAACCCACACAAAACACATAGCAACTATAACCCACACAAAACACATAGAAACTATAACCCCCACAAAACACAGAAACTATAACCCACACAAAACACAGAAACTATAACCCACACAAAACACAAAGAAACTATAACCCACACAAAACACAGAAACTATAACCCACACAAAACACAAAGAAACTATAACCCACACAAAACACATAGAAACTATAACCCACACAAGAGAAACAATTTAATCAGCCGACACAAAGTACTTTTAACAACCAAATCGATACAGAAACGAACACCTAGAATTTCAGCTCACAAAGTCACACTGACCTATCATAAATCACCGCTGACACCAAAAATAACTGTTAGGATGACAACGGTTATTTTAGGAATTGATCATCTCCCTTACAGTCTACATTTTATACCGTAAACTACTACAACAACGGCAGATTGTTTACGAAAATCATCGGTTAGAAAAAAATGTTATATTTTTCTCAATATATCTGAATTCCCATGCCTATTTAAAGCCACTGAGATTTTCTGGGTTTTATTTCATCCGTGTAACTTTCGTTTTTTTTACTTTGTTATCATCTTTCCGCCTGCGATATTTTTCTGATATTAAATATTGATATATTTCTGATATTAAATACTTGAGCTGACAATTATTTTTTAAATGTCAGAGGGAAAAAATTGTCAGCGGAAATATCTAGCTGGGTAATGAGAGTTTTTCTTGTATTTATGGCGTGTTGGGAGTGGAACGTTGACTCGATGTTGATTTTGGGTAGCCAGTAAAACATTTGAAGGTTGATTTTTGATAGTAGTAAACGTTTGAATGTTGATGTTTGATAGTCAGTAAACATTTGAAGGTCGATTGTTGATGAAGGGTTGCCGGATTGTTGTAAAGTTGATGACGGGTTGCCAGTTGTCCTAAAGTTGATAACGGGTTACCGGGTTGTTCTAAAGTTGATGACGGGTTGTCAGTTTGTCCTAAAGTTGAAGAGGGGTTGTCAGAGCGTACGCTGCCAGTTTGTCCTAAAGTTGATGACGGGTTGCCAGTTTGTTCTAAAGTTGATGACGGGTTGCCAGTTTGTCCTAAAGTTGATGACGGGTTGCCAGGTTGTCCTAAAGTTGATGACGGGTTGCCAGTTTGTTCTAAAGTTGATGGCGTGATGCCAGGTTGTCCTAAAGTTGATGACGGGTTGCTAGGTTGTTCTAAAGTTGATGACGGGTTGCCAGGTTGTCCTAAAGTTGATGACGGGTTGCCAGGTTGTCCTGAAGTTGACGACGGGTTGTCAGTTTGTTCTAAAGTTGATGATGGGTTGCCAGTTTGTCCTAAAGTTGATGACGGGTTGTCAGTTTGACCTAAAGTTGACGACGGGCTGACAGACTGGATTATTGATGAGCTCACGTGTTGATTCGCTAAACCGCCAGATATTGGGTCTGCTTGAGATCGATACAGGCTCTGTCCCCAGTTGACAGAGGGATCCAGTGGACTCCCATGACAAACACTTGCCAGGGGTTTCTGGGCGTTTGATACAGCGCGTCGATGGGGATGGGGGGGGGGGGGGGGTATGTGGCTGATTTAAAAACTAAATTTTTGAAATGCTGGACCTGTGTATAAACTGTAAAAATAAAAAATTAAAATATACGACGCGCTGGTATGTAATTTTAAAACGAGAATTTCACAATGTAACAGCTATTTTGATACTATTTCATATTCACATTTTAAAATTTAAGAGAACAACGTTTCTGCAATCTAAAATGTAAATTCTTCAACTATATTTATGAACCGACAACAGTGATTCTAAGTTTAACCGGAGAATTTGAGAATATAAAGGAAAGGGCGCTATGGGAATATAAAGGAAATAACACTATGGGCATATATAGGAGATGACGTTATAGGAATATAAAGGAAATGACACTATGGGAATATCAAATAAAAACACCATGGGACCATAAAGGGAATAAAGGAAATAAAGTTATAGGAATATAAAAGAAATGACACTAAGGGAATATAAAGGAAACGATGGTATGGGGATATAAAGGAAATGACATATGAGAATATAAAGGAAATGACATATGAGAATATAAAGGAAATGACATGTGGGAATATAAAGGAAATGACATATGGGAATATAAAGGAAATGACATATGGGAATATAAAGGAAATGACATATGGGAATATCAATGAAATGACACTGTCATGCCACGACTAAAAGAACCAGGACGCCTGACAACGCGAGATCCCTGACTTATGCCGAGATGATCACGTGAGATTGAAAGCTCAGGCGCGAGATTTGTACAAAGATGTACACCACAACATTCCAGATTTTTACGACAAGGGATGCTGAATTTTATTTTTTAAAAGCATACGTTCACAAATTGTTTTCTAAAAAAACTGCTCCCAAAAATGACAAAATTCGAACCTTTTATTTTTATTGATAAGATGGGATTTTTATTTTGACGACACATCGCCATAATAGAAAACAAACAAGTGGTTAGAATTTTAAATAATTTGTTCAAGATTTCGTTTATCACTTTTTACTTCTCACGTTTAAAACGTCATCTTGGATAAAATCTCATTAACATCAAGGTGATATCTGAATGGACTATTATCATTTTTAAGAGCTGAGTGCTTCGACTCTAGAACTTGGTATAAAAGCAACGTTATAAAAATATTGAATTATTTTCGCAACGGATAATTCATGTTCTTTAGTTTCAAAAACAGTACCATTAATATTTTGTCTGAGATATTATTTTCTAAGATATTTTGTCTGATGTTATTTGATAGAAATAGTCTATCAGAGACACTTAATCTGATGTGTGTGTTTATACTTTCGGTATTTTCTTAGTTTATCCAATGTCATGTTTATACATGTCGTTATTTATTTCCATAAAACATGTTACACAAAATGCATTAAAATGTGTTTCCTTTTTAAGCTGACAAGACTTACAGAGACAACCGAGTACCCACTTAGTCAATTAATCCCTGGAGATTAAACTAAATAAACAATATCTTGATCTGTATGACACGCCGCGGGATACTTATCAAGTATCCTGTCTACTTGGATCTACTTGACTTATAACTCATACACCCTCGGGACGCACATCATAAGCTCAAATAATGCAAGGAATAAAAAAAATCGAATTCCACCGACCATTCAGACTTAAGATATAGTATATAGAATCGGATCATAAAAAAAGAAAAGAAGAAAAAAAATTGGTGAAAATGAAATATTTTCCCCAGTTTCCAGAATCCCAGGAATTTAGTTCCATGGTGGAATACCAATAAACTCCGCCTGCGTTGATCATATCAGACAGGAAAATGGCCAATGCTGTAGTGTTATCAGCTCTTAATTCCCTAACGTGGGGGGGGGGGGGGGGTGAAAAGTCAATGCTGGTGATAGGAACGTTAATAGCTCATTGGAGGAAATCTGGTTCAGTCAAGTCCAACTGATGGGGCGGGATATTCTGTGACCTTCACACGTGACCTCAACATATGACCTCAACACATGCAGCTTTACACAGAGATGCTGGGACTGGATAATATGTGACCTCAACATAATATGCAGCTTTGGAACCTCATAACGTGACCTCAGTGCATACAGATTCACATAGAAATGCTAGAGATATGCACCATATTAGGTGTGTGAGAAACACATTAATCCCGGTCGTTCCCCCATGGCATCACCACACCAATTAATTACAATCCTGTGAAATCTTCCCCCCCCCCCCCCCCTCCGCCTTGTCCGAAGAAAGTCTACATAGGATATAACACTTACCCTGTATATATCTAATTTACCCTAAATCTAATAAAGTTATGGTTTGGAACAGAGACATCTAGTTAAGGACTCGGGTAGCGTTAGGATTAGAGATGTGTGTTGGATTAGGGTTCTCGGTAGGACTAGGGCTTAAGTTAAAGATCAGGGACGGTAATTTAAGGAGGGTGGGGTATGTCTTAAACTGGTTAGATAGTGCACGGTGGAACAAAAACACCAAACTTTATATATATATATATATATATATATATATATATATATATATATATATATATATATATATATACAAATAATTATATTATATATGGTAATTATACATTTGTTGAACAAATTAAAGATCATTTGCCAAAAAAACCCAAAAAACAACGGTGTGACGATGTTGCAATCATTCCTTCATAGATCGTATTATTTTTTTTGTTGAGATTTTGTTTTTATCTTATTTTACAGCCATTGATAACGATGGCGTTGCACTCTATTTTCCCGATGAGATAATAGATATTTTTATAACGTAGTGACATCCATTGCTGTTGCGTGAAAAACAGCGATTTAACATTGATGGATTCCAATTATAGTTGCTATATTTGGACATGTTTATAGAGTAATGGAATGATTCGTAAATGACAGAGGTCTAGAACAGAATTGAATGAATTGTTGTATTATGAAACAGACCTTGTATGGAATTGAATGGATAGTTGTATTATAAAACAGGCCCTCTACGGAATTAAATGAAAAGATGTATTGTAAAACAAGTCAAACAAGAGTAACCGAACAAATTTTGTGTTGTGAAATATTTCCAAATGGTAATGAAATAGTATGTTGCACTTATAAAAATGTCCAAAAGCTAACGGAAAGAATTGTTCTGCTCCTCAGCAATGATTTCCTGCAGCGGTCCCCACACATCGGCAGCTGGGGTCCAGTCTTGTGGTACCTGGTGCTATGTGCACTCTTCGTCTGGGTGCTCGTCTATCTTATCATCCTGCGGGGCTCTGCAGGGTTCATCAAGGTCAGTGCTAGACGCCATTGTGGTACCACTTCGTTTTATGTTACAGACGCCATTGTGGCACCATTTCATTTTATGTTTTAGACTCCATTGTGGCACCATTTCATTTTATGTTTTAGACTCCATTGTGGCACCATTTCATTTTATGTTACAGACTCCATTGTGGTACCATTTCATTTTATGTTTTAGACTCCACTGTTGTACCACTTCATTTTATGTTAAAGACTCCATTGTGGCACCATTTTATTTTATGTTTTAGACTCCATTGTGGCACCATTTTATTTTATGTTGATAAACTGTTGTTACAGACTTCATTCTGGTACCATTTTCATTTCATGTTGATGTATTGACGTTGCACCCTTTATGTTGGTGCGATTTTTTATTTTGTTTTGAAGTAAAGATTTAACTAACGCTATTTTTTCGAACTTAAACGAACTCTCTTATCCAGAATATATTTTGGTGGGCTTTAAGTTATTAAGTTTTAGAATAACCAATTCAACGACTGCATTAAACGTAATTCTAAATCACTATTTAAAAATTTAACATTAATTCATAATGTCACGTCTTTATACACGTTTTTTCTTCATTAATTAATCACTTCCTAATTAAATCTCTATAAATTCTATCAATAACAAACTAATTACAATTGTAAGCTAAGATCTAAAATGTTTCAAAGAAAAGCACTAATCGAACCGACCCTTTCTAAAATTCTGAATGTAAATTTTTATGTTGTAACGTGGATAAAAAAAAAAATATTTCAAACATTTTTTACACAAATTGCGGGTAATGAAATAATAACTAACAAACACGATTAAAACACTATTAAAAAATTACAATATAATTATTCGTTAACGGTAGAGCAGGGGGAATAGACTTAACTGCGTGTCTTATGTTGGCCTAATGAAGGAATTATAGTGTTGACGGAATAACAGATGGATAGACTATATAAAAAAAGTAAAGATTCCTTTCTGGACCTAGCGATCCATTGGGCACATGAAGTAGAGTTCATATGTTTCTTGACCTCAGTGAATGAAGGTATGGTGTTGTCAGCACTATGCCCATCCGCCTTTACTTTCCCCAACGTATGTCAGGTACCCAATAGAGCTGGGTTGACTCAGGACTCACGTTGACTCACACAGTCACAACTCCGAACCGAGATCCGAACTCGAGACACTCGCGCTAACAGCCAAACCATTCGACAACGTCTTCCCACAAAATAGATTGTATAATTGATGACAAATTGCTTAAATGTTAGAAAAGATTAAATATAGCTGTATCGAGTTTTGATTGCAGGGTAAGCTTAGCATCGCCTGAACATTCTTTGTCTAGCATGCCAATGTACTGACTGCAAATCTAATTTCTTTTACGCACAAACTTTACATTAAATTTTCTATTTTTTGCTCCTACATAAGACCGCCGCCGTGAGTAAATATAACGTATAGATTTACTTGTAGACAGACGCACATAACTACAAGGTAGTTGGATCTCATCAGCGTGGGAAAATCTGCAGAGAAAATGTCTTAATGCTGTTAAATCTCATTTCAACAACGCCCGTATATAATTATGAAAGGGGAAAAAAATGTTTATCGTTTTTTTTTATTTAAAAAAAAAAACATAATTCGTCGAAACAGCTGGTAGTTAAATAAGGGAAAGGCGTATGGAAGACCCATAGAGATGGCCGAAAGCAGTAGAAATGCATCAAATTTTCCGTTCCTTCTGAACCGTCCCTGAGCGATAATTCCCACTGGATTTAAATGGAAATGGAAAGAGCATGCCCTTAGCATATAAAAACCACTTGTCAGATGCTAATTTTTGGTCTCACCCCTCGCTTCATTCCGTCTTATTCAATCAATTCCCTGCCTCGCGTACAAAAAGAAAATGGCTCCTTGTTCAATTTTGGTTCATCAGAAGTTCGTTTATCAGGCTTGGGCTCGTATGTTCGCGATCTGCGATGGGATCAATAGCGCCCCTTTCTTTCTGATCACCTCTCAAGTGGAAGCGCCCCCGCGCCCTCCAACCGCCCATTTGGGAACTCGTTTTTCAAGTACCGGGGCGTCCCGTTAACCAACAAAAAAAATGGGCCTAGTGATAGCAATCAACTCACTCGTTTTTTGGGGATTCCCGTTTCGCAAGCAAAACAAGTGACAGCGCCATGACTCAAGGCTGAGTTCTCGTATGGGAGCCCCTGTCCCCTCCAAGGGGCGCGTTAACGATTTTCTGACACCCTGTCGTGGCGTGACATGATCTTGAGAGCAAGTAGGATGGGGGGGGGGGGGAGTTTTTGCTGTGAGAAGGTTGTGGCCTATTCATAGTAAGGAAATCTAGAGACTTACAGGTGTACCTTAAAGGGCTTAGATTTTTGCTATTACAGCCGGCTGTGTTGTGAACACTCAGCTCCGCGTAGTAACAGCCTGACTTGTCAGAGGCTAAATGTCTCCGTGTAGTAACAGCCTGACTAACCAGAGACCAATAGTCTCAGCTCCGTATAGTAACACCACCGCTTGCCAAAGACCAATAGACTTAGCTCTGTATAGTAACAGCCTGGCTCACCAGAGACCAACAGTCTCTGTATAGTAACAGCCTGGCTCACCAGAGACCAACAGGCTCTGTATAGTAACAGCCTGGCTCACCAGAGACCAACAGACTCTGTATAGTAACAGCCTGGCTCACCAGAGACCAACAAGCTCAGCTCCGTGTAGTAGCCTCCTTGCTCACCAGAGACCAACAGGCTCAGCTCTGTATAGTAACAGCCTTGCTCATCAGAGACCAAAAGTCTCTGTATAGCAACAGCCTGGCTCACCAGATACCAACAGGCTCTGTATAGTAAAAGCCCGGCTCACCAGAGACCAACAGACTCTGTATAGTAACAGCCTTGCTCACCAGAGACTAACAGGCCCGGCTCCGTGCAGTATTATTAACACATGCGATCGATGCCAAAATGTTCCAACCGCCCGCTAATGCCCTCTGATTGACGAGGTCGCCATGATCGCTCCGTTACACTCAATTAACCTTTGGATTTGCCTCGAGGCTTGCTAACAATTGACTTCTAAATTATACTCTTAGACTCATTACATCTAAATTTATGCACTGGCATTTACCAGTTTCACTCGATTTTAAAATTTTCTTTAAAAAAAATACCATCATTAAAAAATATTTAATTTCTCTATAACAGTTAAAAAAACATGAATCAACTTTCAAAATAAGTTTGTGATGTATGTAAGTGTATTGTCAAAAATTGTGGTTTATGATGTTAGCTAACATTTCACAGCATCAGAACAATCGGCTACTGTTCAAAAGTATTCTGTGTATCTATTCATATTATCTGTACATACGTGCTTATGTGAGTACACATACACACAAACGGGAGGGCGTGCCGGAAAATATGGATGCAGCTATCTGACTGACTGGTTGACTGACTAACTGCCTGGGGCTGACTAAAGAACTTGCTGACTGACCTGGGGCTGACGGATGGACCGTTTGACTGATTGAGTGACTAACTCATAACAAGCCCCTCATTATGTAATCTTGTAAAACCATCATCAGCACACCCCCCCTCCCCATCCCTACCCCGAGCTAGACTACCTTAGCTGCAATCAGATCCTATTCTACCGGCCTGAATACACAACCAACGAGCAATAAAACCATATTAGACACGAGCGATCCACACGATTTTCTACTGGCGCGAACTTTTTCTGCTTCATGGTCTACAGCAGTGGATCTCACACTAAACTGTCATACACAACACCACAACAGATGTCTGTCTTTGAGTGGATCTCACACTTAAATACAAAACACGACCCCAGCTGTCCAGTGTTTCTTCCAAACTTTTTTCTCCGGGGGTGCACTTGAAATTTTCGGGGGGGGGGGGGCGGACAACAATTTTCGGGGGGGGGGGACGGGGGACGGGGGACACTGTCAAAAGTATATATTTTCTATATAAATTCCATTTCGTTCGGGGGGGGGGGGGTAGACTTTCTTCGGGGTGGGGGTGGCGGTACCCCCGACCCCCCCCCCCCCCCCCCCCCCCCCCCCCCCCCGAAGAGATGCCTGGAAGAAACTCTGCAGCTGTCTGTCTTTGATCCATTGATTTAAAACGCATACATTAAGCAACAGCATCGTATTTTTATTTTTTACATAGACTTGTTAATTTAATATAATCATGGGGTATGTAAACGTGCTGAATCCATTCAATTAAACTTGACCTTTGTAGTTACCTAGAGTACCCGTAATATCGTTGGATAACGGTTTACACATCCATCTACAGAAAACTTTATTTAAAGGGAAGTAGACACGACTTTATCTTCTCATTTTAAATAATCTGGCTATATTAAAGAACTGTAATAAAAGGGTGTGGAAGAGGGAATCATATACATGGGCATCAACAAAAAATCATGGCGTCATTTTTAGACGAACCCTCTCTAATTAAACGTTTCCCTTTGCAGAACAACAATGAACGTTCCCTGCGTCATAAAAGTAGCTACAATTGGCGAAGTTTTGGGTCATTTTGACAGCGTTTGACAAATTGAAGAATACGAAGTAGGATCAATATAGACGTAACGGTACGAGTTACAAGGGTTGTTTCATTGGCTTTATGGTTGTCCGGGTTGGCACGGTGATCAATAGACATAAACCCCGTCCCCGGGACAGTTGTGTGGGTGCCGGCACGTGATGTGACGTAGTAGACAGTCAAGGGCAGGCAATCAAGTGCCATGTGTACAGGGGAGGTAAATGTGTGGGTCGCTGAACAAAGTTAATTTTAGCAACTTGTAGAGCTAGATTGGTGGCGTTGAACAAAGTACTCGAGGCAATGGTTAAGTCTGGTGTTATGTAACTGGGTAAATAGTTGGTACATCGTAGTACTCGATACTTCGTATAACTTTTGGCATGAGATACCACAGTACTCGATACGTAATATACATTTTAGCATGAGATATCACAATACTGGATACGTAATATACATTTTGACATGAGAAATCACGGTATTCGATACATCATATACGTCACAATGCTCGATACGCCGTAAAACTTTTAGTATGAGATATCACAGTATTCGATACGTTATATAACGTATGCAATGAGATATCGCAGTAATCGATATGTTATAAGACGCATGTCGATACATATGGCATGAATTGCAATAAAAATAAGCGGACATACAAACGATATGCGTATTATAAATTATGACACATCCAGATGAAATATAGCAGCAAGATACTCACACAACATCTCATACGACACGTACTAATTTACGTGACGTCACAATACATTCCTGTCAAACCACACTTAAAAAGATATATCATACGACACTAAACGTAATATGTCACACCACACGTGAAATGACACGCCAAAGAACACGTCACTTGACACGTCACACGGATCGTCACACAGCAATTCTCACGCATCATCCATGTCACACGAAACGTCACAAACTTATGCTACAACTCGTCACAAAACCACCCACAACATCCACATAAATATTTAGTGGCGTGTACAACCAACTCCTTGTGTTGTTGATTTGTGTGCGTGTGTGTGTATATGTGTGTGTGTGTTAAAATACATGTGATTCTAAAAATAGATTGACCTCTGACAGGTCATCTCAGCTCTGGCCCCGGCTACAGCTGTCTGCATCCTGATTGTACTCATCTACGGCTACTCGGCCGTGCCCGGCTCTAGCGGGTCCCTGTACACGTTCCTCACCCACGCCAGTGACGTCATGCACCGGAAGAAAGGCTTTGACAGCTCACAAGATGGCACCATGGGTCACTTCTTGAGTCGGCCGGCGGTAAGTTGGATCTTCCTGACTTATAGCTGGGTGTGTGTGGAGGGGGATGGGTGCGGAGAGTTGGGTACCTTACTTTAGTAAAGTAAAACTCAATCATTTAATAAAACAGTTAACATGGCCTTTTAAATATACCAAATAAGAAAATGAAGATAACTTTTCTTTAGCTATAAATTTTGAGTAAAGCAATATTTTTAAAAAATGTCTATTCAATATAAAAGCTTTGTTGATTTTAAAACGCATTCGAATTACATAATTTTATTCATAGAAAACCTTCATTAGGAGCAAGAATTGTATGCTTTACAATCATCTGTTTTTATTAAACATAATTGATTCATGTAGGGTAAAGGTTAAAAGTTCATGTAATCTTTTGTAATAAAATAATGAAATAAAAAATAACACAACGTTCATGCGTCTGTCTGTATGCATTGACACAGATCTGGATAGATGCCCTTGACCTCCACACCTATGGTCTGGGACTGTGGGCAGGTACCCTGCCATTTCTGGGGACACACCTGGCGTTCAAGAAAAAAGTTATCAAAGTGTGAGTCGTTGATTTGTGTAATAATTCGTTCAGTTTGTTAAATGTTCAGCACAGTCCCCTGATTTGCAACTTGAAATACTTACATACATGTTTTGCTTTTAGCGCAAAAAAAGTTTCGTTAAGTGCAAAAGAAACATTTTTAAAATGCAAAGAGAAGTATTTAAGGTTTTTGTCTACGTACCAAGGATTTGTCCATAAATGACGTCATAATCTCAGGGGAGCGGAACTGATTCAAGAAAATCTAATGACAGATATATGGATTCAGATTTGATGAAAGAGTTTGATAACATGATTTATATTGATATTGTTGCGTGTTTCTTGCAGCACCACTATAATGTTGCTGGCACTATAGCCTACTATTGTTGCGTGTTTCTTGCAGCACCACTATAATGTTGCTGGCACTATAGTCTACTATTGTTGTATATCTTACAGCACTACTATAATGTTGCTGGCACTATAGTCTACTATTGTTGTATATCTTACAGCACCACTATAATGTTGCTGGCACTATAGTCTACTATTGTTGTATATCTTACAGCACTACTATAATGTTGCTGGCACTATAGTCTACTATTGTTGTATATCTTACAGCACCACTATAATGTTGCTGGCACTATAGTCTACTATTGTTGTATTTCTTACAGCACTACTATAATGTTGCTGGCACTATAGCCTACTATTGTTGCGTATTTCTTACAGCACCACTATAATGTTGCTGGCACTATAGCCTACTATTGTTGTGTATCTTACAGCACCACTATAATGTTGCTGGCACTATACAGCCTGGTGCCACATCTCCTGTTGGTCATGCTGGTGCCGTTCATTGACCCGACCTACCCCGGGGGGACTCTGCAAGTGGAAGTGGGGATCAAGCCAGGTGAGGGTCACATGTCTCCCGTTGCTTCTCCATGCCCTTCATAACTTCATTCACTGAACACAAGGCATCTTATATTTTATTATAGTCACATAGTACACACATACTTGTGATAGTTATTCGTAAACTCTACTTCATCTGCTAAAATGATACTAAGACTATTTATATTTGCTATGAAGCTTGTTTGCTTGATTTAGCCAGGTCCTCCCAAATCAAAATAACATCTGCAAAAATGAAAATAAAATTAAAAAAAACTTTGCTATAGTCTTTTCCCTTATTTTCTTTAGAATGATTTATTTTGCTAACATGAATTAAAGAGTACTTAATATTGTGTATTAAACTACATTGTGCATCTTAAAATCTCTAAAATTCTGTATATATGTATCATATATTATCTTATAAACCTGTACGAATCCCTACCTTGTATCTTATTCCACTAAATAAACCTGTATAAGTTTATATATTGTATCTTATAACACCTAATAAACCTGTATGAACTTATATATCGTATCTTATTTCAGGTTTGTCCTACCTGTTTGTATCCATCCCCCACAAGTTCCACAAGTACGGCTTGTCGCCATTTATCCTCTTTCTAATCTACGCCACATTTATTTTAGTCAACATACAACATTTGGTAAGTTATACTTGATATTTGTTGTCTTTTAATCAACATTCAACATCCAACTGTTGGTCTTTTCAATATTTTGTGGTTTTCCGGTTGTCTAAATTTAGAACTGAATCATGCAGACGTTTTCTGTTAATACTGTTTCCAGATTTGGTTCACAGTTTCGGTGTTTTCATGTCCTAAAGATTTACCCGGTGTAGCAGGAATTTGTTTCCCATAACAACTTTATCCCCTTATTTCAGTGTTTCCATACCCTAATAATTTAACCGGTATATCATGAATTTGTTCCTCCAACAACTTTGTTTACATGTTTCAGTGTTTCCATGTCCTAAAGATTTACCCGGTGTAGCAGGAATCTGTTTCCCCTAACAACTTTATACCCTTATTTCAGTGTTTTCATGTCCGAAAGATTTACCCGGTGTATCATGAATTTGTTCCCCTAACAACTTTGTATACATGTTTCAGTGTTTCCATGTCCTAATAATTTACCCGGTGTATCATGAATTTGTTCCCCCAACAATTCTATCTCCCATTTTCAGTGTTTCCATGTCCTGATGATCTGGGAAAATGTCTGGCCAAGTATTCCAAAAGTAGCCATGGCTTTTTTCAAGAGGACGCCATTTCTGCTTGCGGCATTTTGTTTTATTTCATTCCTGCTTACAGCTCCCTACCTATCTCAGGTAACATACAGCAATTACAACATACAACATTTAGAACATACAACATGAACAACATACAACATGTACAACACACAAAACATAAGATGTACAGCATACATGATAAGATACAAGATGTTCTACATTCAAGTTGTACAGCATACATGTACAAGATACAAGATGTGCAATAAACTAACGTATACACATACAACATGTGCAAACATATACAACGTACAACATGAACAATATACAACATCTACAACATAAACCTACAACATGCAACATGCGCAACATACAACATGCACTAACAAATAAATTGGTAGCTGCCTTTATGTACAATTTAGCATCTCCTTTTTTCCCGCTTAAAATACGCTGGAGAATGTTTTTTTTCTTTTTGCAGTGCGGTATCTACTTATATCAGATTATAAGGTTTTACGTTGATCGACTACTTTTTGCTTTAATCATCTTTAGCATGGTGCCCTTTGTCATTGGGTTTGGTGAGTATGAATTTTAACTTTTTAATTTTTTTTTAAATTCAAAATATTTGCCATAAAGACATAATATCTAATTTAGTAATATTTATTTCAAACTCCGTTAAAAACATTTTCCAATAGGCTTAATGTTTGATTTATTGAGCAGAATTTATAAAAAAGGTTCCTAAAACATTAACGATTGGTATTTATTTGTAGTCCGCCAAGAATCCCTGCGGATGCCGATTGATCGAATATTCATGGGCGTGTGGTACGCCGTCGCTTCCGTCATAGCTGCTGTAAGTTTGGAGCGATTTTCTATTATTAGCCTCAACTATACTATAGCAGTAGGTCAAAGGTCATGAACTAACGGACGGTTATTTATTTATTTATTTCTCTACAGTGTTTCCTGATCTACAACTTTATCGTGTTTGTCTACCCGGAGTCTGTGGTGAGCTACGAGCAGCAGTGGGCTGAGAACATCGGCTGGTGCGTCAGTGTGTCGCCTCTGTTGTTGGGGGTTCTACTCGGAGCACTGCACACCCTGCTCTCGCTCAAAGGCTCGGTCAAAGAGGTAAACGTTTGAACTCTGTCATTGAAAGGCTCACTTAGAAAAGTATACAACTATTTACTCAATGCCACTAAAAGGCTCAAATAAAAAGGTATACATTTTTTACTGTGTGTATTAAAGGCTCACTTGAAAATGTATTCTTTTATTTACAATGTGGCATTGAAAGGCTCGGTTAAAGAAACAGACGTCACGATTATTTTACTTATTATTTACTTGTTTACATCTTATTTAAAGAATGTCCAGTCTACTAGTTGTCTAAGCTATCATTTAGTGATTTTTAGCTTATGAACATAATCACGAGAATGAGATCGTAAAGGTTAAATTTCACATAAAATAGTGAAATTATCGAGCACTGAAACTACAACTGTATAATTAAAATTTTGGAATGGTATTCGGAATAAGATTTTTTCAAGACAATATTTGTTTGTATTTAAATTGGAAAAAAACGAAAAACAGCAGTGTGTTCTAAACTGTATTTTTTATTAAAATGGGTTGTGATATCCACTTCAAATACAGCAAAATCTTCGAGATTCATTGATCAAAACAGACTTAAACAATGCTATGTTTACCGTTTGTTTTTATAGAATAAATCAACAAAGCTTTCCTTTTTTTTTCAGCGTCTGGTCAATTCCTTTAAAACCGGGTCATCTTCATCGATCGAGGCCTCAGATGACGGACTATCCGTGGACACAGGTGACACTGACCTCAAGTCGCCGTGCCCATCCCGCCACACCACCCCCCTGACTCAAGCCCGCGCCCCCCTCCTCAAACACCACGCCACCCTGCTGGAGAAGAACAGCCAATCTGGCTCCAACCACACGCTGTTCCCACAAAATCTGGCCAACCTTCCCATCAGCCCTGTCGGCAGTCAGAACGACGTGGTGGTCAGGAACTGTATCAACAGCCCCACAGCGGGGAGGGAACCCTTTGTGCCAGAAAATACCGCGCTCGGTTACGGGACTTTGCAGATGCCGAAAGCTAAAGCCAATGTGGAGGTTGTGATTAGATCAACGAGTGATGGCAATATTGCGAGGTTGTAAACCTGCAACATTGCGAGGTTGTAAACCTGCAACATTGCGAGGTTGTAAACCTGCAACATTGCGAGGTTGTAAACCTGGAACATGGGGAGGTTGTAAACCTGGAACATTTGGAGGTTGTAAACCTGCAACATTGCGAGGTTGTAAACCTGCAACATTGCGAGGTTGTAAACCTGGAACATGGGGAGGTTGTAAACCTGGAACATTTGGAGGTTGTAAACCTGCAACATTGCGAGGTTGTAAACCTGCAACATTGCGAGGTTGTAAACCTGGAACATGGGGAGGTTGTAAACCTGGAACATTTGGAGGTTGTAAACCTGCAACATTGCGAGGTTGTAAACCTGCAACATTGGGAGGTTGTAAACCTGGAACATGGGGAGGTTGTAAACCTGCAACATTGCGAGGTTGTAAACCTGGAACATGGGGAGGTTGTAAACCTGGAATTTGGGGAGGTTGTAAACCTGGAAAAAGGGTAGGTTGTAAACCTGGAACATTGGGAGGTTGTAAACCTGGAACATTGGGAGGTTGTAAACCTGCAACATTGGGAGGTTGTAAACCTGGAACATTGGGAGGTTGTAAACCTGCAACATTGGGAGGTTGTAAACCTGTAACATTGGGAGGTTGTAATCCTGCAACATTGGGAGGTTGTAAACCGGGAACATTGGGAGGTTGTAAACCTGGAACATTGGGAGGTTGTGATTAGATCAACGAGTGATGGCACTATTGCGAGGTTGTAAACCTGCAACATTGCGAGGTTGTAAACCTGCAACATTGCGAGGTTGTAAACCTGGAACATTGGGAGGTTGTAAACCTGGAACATTGGGAGGTTGTAAACCTGCAACATTGGGAGGTTGTAAACCTGGAACATTGGGAGGTTGTAAACCTGGAATATGGGGAGGTTGTAAACCTGGAATTTGGGGAGGTTGTAAACCTGGTACATGGAGAGGTTGTGAAACATGTTCTGCAACAAGTAACGTGAACATTTCTAGGTTGAAAGACGAAACATAACATAGGCCTACATATGGAACATAATCTGTAATATTGTCAGACTTTAAACGTGTTCTAGTGTAAGTGAAAGAAACATGCTGGCCAACTGTAGTTAAGTGCACAGACATGTTATACAGATCGTCTGCATATGGACATGGCGAGTAACTAGATTGTGATACCAGAGGTGGGAACGTTGTCAAGTTTTAAAGCGATTTAGAGAGGAAACTATACGCTATTAACATTATCTGCAACATGAATGGGAATATCATCATTGTTCAACAGCTGGAAAATTGCCATAGTTCAACAGTTGGAAAATTGACATAGTTCAACAGTTGGAAAATTGCCATAGTTCAACAGTTGGAAAATTGCCATAGTTCAACAATTGGAAAATTGCCATAGTTCAACAATTGGATAATCGCCATAGTTCAACAATTGGAAAATTGCCATAGTTCAACAAGTGGAAAATTGACATAGTTCAGCAATTGGAAAATTGCCATAGTTTGACAACTGGAAAATTGCCATAGTTCATTAATTGGAAAATTGCCATAGTTCAACAATTGGAAAATTGCCATAGTTCAACAATTGGAAAATTGAAATAGTTCAGCAATTGGAAAATTGCCATAGTTTGACAACTGGAAAATTGCCATAGTTCAACAATTGGAAAATTGCCATAGTTCAACAATTGGAAAATTGCCATAGTTTGACAACTGGAAAATTGCCATAGCTCAACAATTGGAAAATTGCCATAGTTCGACAATTGGAAAATTGCCATAGTTCAACAATTGGAAAATTGCCATAGTTCAACAGTTGGATAATTGAAAACAGTGTAACATGTAAAGGAAATGTTGTCAGTTTATCCAGTTGTTTGAACATTGTTAGTATTTCTAAACATGTTCAGCAACAAATGTTTGCAACATGCTGTAGATACAATCTTCAACATTTGGTACGTTTCTGGGTTGTGAATAAGTTCTACTCAAGTTCCAGCTCAAGTTAAACAAAAACCACTTCAACAAAAATATCTCATGCTCATTTTTTTGGGTATTTTTTTTCAAACTCAAAGGATGATATATTTTTAATTAATGCATGAAGCTGCTCTAACATGATTGTCGATATGTCGGTTGTGCAATAATGATCAGTTGTCCAAAAATGAAGTGGTTGTCAAACCAATTTTTTCGTAGTCCCAGCAATGCATACGGTTGTTCAAAAAATAGTGGGCTTGTCCAAACATATGGTTTTTTGTTTAATACGTGTGTGTTTGTCTAAACATATTGTTTTTGTCAAAACATTTGTTGTTTTTTTTTTTCAAATAATTGTGTTGTTGTCTCAAAGATTGTGTGATTATCCTAAAATTGTGCGGTCGTTCAAAGATTGTGTGGCTGTCAAAAAATTGTATGGTTGTCCTAAAATTGTATGGTTGTCCTAAAATTGTGTGGTTGTCCAATAGTTGTATGGTTGTCTAAAAATAGTGTGTGTATTCAAAGATTGTGTGGGTGTTGAAAGATTGTGCGGGTCAACCGATAATTCATGAGATTATCAGAGAAAATGTGATTGTATAAATTCTTTTTTTTTTCATTTTCAATAATTTGTTCAAATTATGTGGTTTTAAAATTACAAAATCATTGTCGAAATAATGATGTCGCTGGTCTAAAAAAATATCGTAGTTGACCAAAGTGGATGTCGAATTAATGATGTGGTTGCTGATCAAACAAAAACTTTTGATTTGTTCCACTCCAACTTGTGCCAAACCCAACCTACAAACAACGTTTAACTTGCGATTCCTTTCGGCAAGGCCGTACTTTGGCAAAAATAACTAAGTGACCGGAGATATTTAAAACATCAACAATAACTTAAAAACTAATTATTTTTAATATATAGAGATGGATCTGATTACAATCAAACAAGATGGATTGCATACCTGAATGACTATTAAAATAACACGTTGTGAATCAACAGACTAAACATCTACCAAAATGGTGGTATGAACGATGAAACTAAATAAAAGATTCAGACATGTTTAGGGAATTGACGTGTATAAAAACAACTAAAATCTTTAGACATTATTGAACTGTAACATTTGAATACTGTAGCCAACCACAAATAGACTTACAAATAGCAGAGCTAATTAAAACACTGTAGAGGTTGTATCCTCGACTGGGATAGGATTCTCGCCATCTTTTTAACTGTGCATCTATTTATCAGAGTATTTCGTGATGTTTTTTTTTTATTATGAGTTTTCTCATAAATTTCATTCCACTTGCATGTGTGATTCTAAAAGACGATTCAAATATTACTCAATGTGCTTTTACATAATTATGTGTCGATGTCAGCATACATTATGTGTTTATGGAATGTCCCATACTGAAGCAGTACCGACAGCAAATAACAAGTGACCAGGTTTAGATCATATCTTTTATACATCTGTGTACCATGTGATTCATGACAACCAAATATATTTATACCATCCTAACATTTCTTTCCTAATATTTCTTTCCTAATATTTCTAACCACATATCTCGAATCTCGTTTAACAAATTAGATTCGCTTCTATCAATTCCAAAGAGCTTTGAATAGTCGCTAAACACCATTATATCCATTGCTATTTGAGTATGTAAATATTGATGTAATATTTTGTGAGAGTATTCAGTTTCAGTTATTGAATAATTTCATGTCATGTTTTATAAAGGTTCTGTATTTTTGTGTTATATCAGTTTAAACTAACAAGAGGGATTATCTCAGCTTGTGACGTTTGGAATTTTTTGTTGCTCTGTGAAAGAGAGCCATCTCATCCATTTTATTTTCATGTTACTTTTATCTTCTTAGGTCATTGTCATGAAATAAATATGCTTCAAATAACACGTATCTAATGCCGTTTTTTTTCTGATTTAGTATAATATATAAAATACATTCCCATAAGCATACAAAGAAAACAGTAATGCTAAACTTATAGCTAAATATTTATGTTGATAAAGTATTTCAAATGCAGTTAGTTTTTTCTCAGTTCTACATAATACATATAAACCCAGACCCATGAACATACATACAAAAAACATGTTTGCTAAATCTTTAACTATTCTTATTGTTGATAAATACAATTTAAGTAAGTAAAGAAATAATAAAACTACGGATCTTCATTCATAACATTGTGTACACCACTTGTTTGCCTTGCTTATATAAGCCACTAGAGTTTAAAGATGTGGTCTATATAATCAGGTTGACTAATTTGAGCCATTTAGTTTCATTGCAAACTATCACCGGTAACATAGTCCTTGCCTCTGCACCCCTGATACCAATCTGATCAAAATATCATCTTACATTCTCTCACGATAAGCAACAAAATATGAAAGTGTGTAGAAGTGAACTTTGACTATTTGCTGAGGAGATGTGGGTGATTTTTAAAATTTTTACCATAAAACAAACCTTCATATCTATTCCCATGACTTACCATGATTCACAACTTACCATGATACAAACATTCATATCTGACCCACGACTTACCTATACAAACATTCATATCTGACCCACGACTTACCATGATACAAACATTCATATCTGACCCACGTCTTACCATGATACAAACATTCATATCTGACCCACGTCTTACCATGATACAAACATTCATATCTGACCCACGACTTACCATGATACAAACATTCATATCTGACCCACGACTTACCATGATACAAACATTCATATCTGACCCACAACTTACCATGATACAAACATTCATATCTGACCCACGTCTTACCATGATACAAACATTCATATCTGACCCACGTCTTACCATGATACAAACATTCATATCTGACCCACGACTTACCATGATACAAACATTCATATCTGACCCACGACTTACCTTGATACAAACATTCATATCTGACCCACGACTTACCATGATACAAACATTCATATCCGACCCACGACTTACCATGATACAAACATTCATATCTGACCCACGATTTACCATGATACAAACATTCATATCTGACCAACGATTTACCATGATACGAACATTCATATCTGACCCACGACTTACCTATACAAACATTCATATCTGACCCACGACTTACCTTGATAGAAACATTCATATCTGACCCACGACTTACCA